AAAGGCAGAGTCTCGTCCGGGTACGTAGACAGATACCCGATCCTGTGTTTGCAGGGTCTACGGGCAATTTTTGCCCGAGCCCACGTGTTCGGATTTCCCCACATTATATTTGGCCTTGTGCCGTATCCTCCCTCGTGGGGAGGCAGGTAAATATCATAATATGCTGTATAAGTAGTTCACCACTAGCAGTGGTTTACCTACTTCACGCCGCTGGCGAGTATCGTATTTTGTTGATGTTATAAAGATTACCATTTGATTTCCAACCTCCGTTTTGGTTATTCCTCGTTCAGTAACCTTTTCTAGGTTACAACACTTGCTGCATGGTCGAACCAGTGCTGACTAAATCGCTTATCCAGCAAGGCGTTTCTGGTATGGAAGGTGGCTAAACACTCAGCACAATTAAAAATAAGACCTGTCAAAGAGCGGATAAACATACTTGTTGTGTCAACTGATATCTCACAGCAGGGTACACTGGGCTACATAGCAGTGATGGCATGACATTAGTGGGTAGATGTCTTCCTAGACTGAAGTTAACATCCAGGGCAATTGGAATCATCACCCGCCTGTCTGTGAACTAGGCAAAACATCAAGGTGTAAGACATCGTCTGTGGTTTGACCGGAAGAATCAGCAGAGTCTAATGATCCCATGGAAATATCGAATTGGTTAACAAAGTTGTTCATAATCCACTGTTCATTTTTATGGATAAGAACAAATCTTCTACATTTCTTAATAATGTCAAGGTCGTCGGTGAAAAGATCAGAGTACTTGGAAAATTACAAAGCAATTGGATAAATGAATAATTCCTTTAATTGTATATACCATTAAACCAATTTATAACATGTGTGGTATTAATCCATTATACAAGTCCTAGGTGATTTTTTTTTATCAGCGGGTTAACTCTATCGAGGATGATCTTGTTAATTCTACCAATTTCTGGCCTGGCAGAGTTGATAATTCTGGTGGGGAGATTAACTTCAAGATCACGTTTATGGTCCTTGAGCGTGACATAGGATTATTTAGTACAGAGTTTGTTAATTCTGTTAATGATCATAAGAAAAATAAATATACTTAACTGCAGTACCTTGTCAATAATTTTTAATGAAACTTAGTGTATTACATATAATCCAGTTCACACTCCTCCCAGTCTTTTGAACAGGTGTAGAGGTTTATCTCTTTGTTTCCTGTGCCTTCTAAAGGCTTTTTGTTCTCTTTCACACTCAGTAGCCCCTTGCATCTTAGTGACATTATCACTTTGGAGTGAATCAATTAAATATACACACACATTTATAGTATTAATATTGGCTATTCCATTTCATTTAGATATCTGGGATTTATATGTTAAAGTTTTATGTGGTTATTCATAGAATTAATGCTTTAGTGACATTGCTGAATCTATGGAGCGAGTGCTGAAAATTTATAAGAACACAAGAAAAAATGAATAAAAACTTAACCGTGTTTAAATGTTCTCTGCACAATTATTAAATTCCATGACCCGGCAGCCAACAAGATAATACTACAAGACTTTTTTTTGCGATATATATATTTGGTTGGATAGATGTGAGTGACCCTGGGTTTCACGCTTTAGCGATCGTCAGACAAACTGATTAATAAAATACCGCGCATATAATATATAAATAATTATATATATATACATATATTTATTTATATTTATATACACACACTTTACAAACACTTTTCACACACACACACACACACACACACACACACACACACACATATATATATATCAAATATATGGTGCAGTTCAATTTATATTACAATGAATCATACATGCAAAAAGTAAATTGGAAAAGTTAATGATATATATATATATTAAATAATTATATATTAAATAATTATAATTAAATAATATATATATATATATATATATATATATATATATATATGTGTGTGTGAAGAAATATAGTCTTAAGATGTGCTATATTTATGGGATAAAGTGCTCAATATCAGTGTTGACTTATGTTCCTTTATATATATATATATATATATATATATATACGGGGGAAATTGTATTACAAAATGAAAAAAGCTTATTTTTGGGACGTGTTTCGTCCTTCAGGACTCCATCGATGTGTCGTCATACATAGCAAATTTAGTCTGACGATGTCCTGAAGGACAAACGCGTCTCAGCTAAACTTTTCTACTTTGTCATACAATTTCCCTGATACTATTCTTGATATATAAAAATATATATCGTTATCTCATATATATATATATATATATATATATATATATATATATATATATATATATATATATATATATATATGTATGTATGCGTGTGTGTGTGTGAGCTCGCGTGTGCTTGTATGAATATGCTTGCGTTCGTATATATGTAAAGACTTACAGATATATGTTATGCGATAGAGAAACGGTAAGAAGATGTAATAGTGTGGAACTGGAAAAAGACTGATGGACAGTTAACCTGTCTGTTCTTCATTTTCAAGCAACAGGCGCGTTATTCTCTAAGGAACTTAGCACAGGAAACATTCAGATTACAGACGATAACGCCCCAACTGTTTCTGAGCCAATCATATCATTTCGCATTCATCACGCTGGTCACGTGACACACACACACACACACACACACACACACACACACACACACACACACACACACAAACAAAAAAAAAAAAAAAAAGAAAAACTGCCTTCAAGCCCTAAGCCCGATTTTCAGCCACATTGTTATTTGTTCACTTAGTTTCTTAACTGCCGGACGGGAACAAGGTTCCGATTTACGAGCACCAAATATTTTTTTTTCAGTCTATTCTTCAGGCGAAAATACCCCGCATCGTCTTTTTCGGGATTTTATAAGGTGCACAGTGATAAAATAGTTAAGAGCAAGTACTCTATTACAAATGAAAAAAAAAATATATTCACGTTGCTGATAAGAAACATTAAAATATGCCTAATATATAATAAATAAATAAATAAATAAATAATAAATTATTATTAATAATAATATTTTAGTGTTTAAAACACTTCATGATAAACTTAGTTCATAACGTTCTGTTGGTAATCTAAGCTGGTGAATCAACAAATACCTATCCTGAATTTTGATCTGAAATATTCACTGTATGATATTAGAACATTATGATCTAAAGTGGAAACCTTACCTTAGTTTAATTGAATAAAGAAAGAACATTATGTTGAAAAATAATTATTTGTGATATATATATATATATATATATATATATATATATATATATACCGTTTTACAATTAGGCTAAATAGATATTTCTTCGAGGAAATAAATGCTTTTACACTGTTAGGCTTCAGACCCAATGATATTAACAATGATCACGAATCAAAAAGTCTATAATCTGGATTTTATTCTGAAATGTTAAGCGCATGATATATATGTATATGTGACTAAAAATCATGTTTGAATTAAGTGCATTGGCAAAGAACGTTAGAAATTAAATATTTCTTCGGAAAAATAAATTCTTTTAAAATGTTTTCTGCTTCGAATTTATTGATGTCCTTACGTATGAGTAGGGATCAAAATGTCTATACTTGCAATTTTGATCTGAATTTTTCACTGTATAGTATTCGATTTATTCCCTCCACTGTATTAAGTGCGTTGACAAAGAATGTGATTTTGTTGAAAAATAAATATTTGTTGTGCAAACTAAATGCCATTTTTATCATTAGGTTACAGAGTTATTGATGTGCATTTTGGTCCATCACTGAATAAAGTGCATTGACAAATAAATACACCTTATGTAAGGTAAATTATTTTTTATCATTAGGCTACGGACATATTGATGCACATACAGGTTCATCAGTGAATTAAGTGCCTTGACATGGACGGATATTATGTTGAAAAATAAATATATCTTATGTAAAGTAAATTATTTTATCATTAGGCTACGAACTTATTGATATACGAGGTCTGTCTGAAAATTTTGAATTTTAACCAATACCCTGTAATTAAATTAAAGACATTAGGAGGAAATGGAACTAATGTCTTTAATTTAATTACAAAATTAAATTCGGGGCTTTTAGCTTCCATTTTTGGAACATGGTTAGAAATGTAGCGGAAAAACCATATTTTAAATCAATTAAATTTATATATATATATATATATATATATATATATATATATATATATATATATATATATATACATAATAATTTATATATATATATATATATATATATATAATATTATATATATATATATATATATATATATATAGACACAATATCTGTCAAAAACAATTTAAATTCCCAAAACAAGCTACATGGTTTCCCCTTCAAAGTAATCCCTCTTGAGTCTAATGCACTTTTTAGTCGTTCTCTGTCTCAATTCTATGCAGTGCTGGAAGGATTCTTCTTGAATGCCGTTCAGCTGTCGTTACGGCCCTCTTGATAGACTCGACGCCTTGTAAATGGGTGGCCTTGATGATGCCGTTGAGCTCGGAGAAAAGAAAAAATTGTCACACAGAACAAGATCAGGTGAAGAGGGATGCTGTTCCAGTACGGCGATGTTCTTCTCTGTCGGATGCTCTGCATGTTGTGGGCAGGTGTATTGTCGTTGTGAAGCAACCACGATTTGTGCTGCCACAACTCGCGTCTCTTCTCGCACACTGATCGAAGCAAACGCCTGGCTCTGTAGCAGGAACTCACTGCCTTTTCTATCAAAGAATGGATAAGTCCCGTTACTTTTCAGACAGACCTCGTATCTTTATTCTTTAATAATGTTAGAATAAATTTTTTTTTTTTTTTTTTTGCTTTTTACGGCTATTTAAAGACACAAATATTTTTAGATTGTAAAAAAATTTTTGAAATAATAATGATTTACTGATGCACATCTTACTAAATAACCCATAGCTGGGGGTAGAAACGGTGGATTAATACCTTTCCAAGCGTATTTGCGTGTAAGCGAAAATAACGAACCCGACTGGAATTGGAACTTGACTCTCCGATTTCCTATTCCGAGCTATGATCCATTATGCCATCTGCTCATGCAAGTTTACAGCATCTGGTATTTCCAAGCGGGTCACCCATCTTGATACTGACCAGGCTCGTCGTTGCTTAACTTTGGTGATCGTACGAGAACCGGTGCTTAAATCTGATATGTCTATAAGCCTAGAAAAAAGTATCTCTAGGTTAGCTTGGAGAAGAGACGGGCGCCGCCAACCTATCTGAAAGTCCAGGGAAAGGATCGTGGGTGAAAGGAAACAAAGCAACACAATGACGGATTGATGATGTTGTTGTTGATGATGTTGTTGATGATGTTGATGATATTTGTCACATACTATTATCATGGAAACAAAGGAAGTACTTACAATCAAGTCAGCTCCTTCAATATGAAACACCCTAGGTATCCTGTTTTTGAATTTTAACCAATACCCCTACAACTGGTAAAAGACTAACCAACACCCTACAATAGGTAGGAGACTACCCAACACTCTTAAAATAAGAAACAGTAATTAAAGGCCATTGTCGAAAGCGTCATAGCTAGCATGAATGACATGGGCTCACAACTGAACATTTTTTTTAAATTTTCACGAGAGATAAGTACTGCATCTAGTCTGAAAGTAAACAATCTCAGAATTTCAGAAAGGGTCTAATTTTTTCATAATTCCAAGAACTTACCAAATTATAATCATTTGAAGTTAATAACATCGATATATCTATATCCCAATACAACATTATATTAAATAAATATATTTCCAACAAAGACAAAGTTCTTTTTTTTTTTTTTAAATAAATACAACTGCCGAAAAAAATGATATGTCCCTTAAAGAGGCGATGTATGACTGATAATATTGTATACCGAGCTAGCTTTCGTTTTGGTTTGGTTTGGTTTGTTTTACCGCATATCAACTTCAATTTGCCGACAAAATATTTATTGCTGGTAATATTTTTTTTTTCAAAAATGTATAAGTGGTATTTTTTTTAACTATTTATTCATAGCTGGGACCCTAACGGATACTAGCACCCCGGGTCAGTGTGGATCTGGGAACACAAGCAATTAAGAGGTGGTTCCACGCTCCTCAAAACCTGATCAGAAGCCTTGCAGTTGGACGTAGTTTATCGTCTTACCCAGGACTCGGATGCAGTTTATCGTCCTAACCAGGACAGTAACGATGTTAAATTTTATTTGAGTTCCACTGAAAATCCTTGCAAATTTTGTTTCTACCATCATCGAATGACTTTAGGTAATATAAAATACAAAAACAGCACTACACTCTATAAATATTTCTGGCAATTAAAGAATGATGTTAATACACCTTTATTACCTGGGATATTGTAACAAGAGCTAAATCTTACAACGGAAAAGTAAATAGATGTAATTCATGTCTTGTTGAAAAATTAGTTATTTTAGAACGCTTAAATAGCCTTTGCTTATTAAACAAGAGAAATAAATTGATGGTTACATGTAGTTAGTCGAAACTCGTACATGTTTAAGCATTTGTTTTCAGAGGAATTTGAAGATTGTTTTTTTCTCAACCTTCTTCTTCTATATACCGTGACTTTTCAGATCGTGGAGGATCATGCCCCCCCCCCCCCAGCTTCCTGTTACCTTTGCAGTTGTTACTAATGTTTGTCGTTTTGCTATCTCTCCTAATTATTTATTTTGAAGAGTTAATTTTTCGTCTCTTTGTGCCAGGAACGTTATCTGAATCTTGGAATGGATGTTATAACTGACATTCAGGTTCAATGACACTCAATTTAGAAAAAAAAAAGTTAGAAACAAAGAAAAGACTACTGGACTGTCATGTAACATCTGCCCTTCCCTAGGCATTTAAAGGTGTACCCACCTCACAACCAGATGTGACACAAGGCCAGTTTAAGATGGGTTTCTCGGCAGTACCGTAAACAAAATTCCAAAACCACCTCGGCACAGATAAATAAAACACTTGAGTCAACAAAATTATAATTCTACACAAGGATACTGGGAATACCATTGACTGAACATGTGAGCAACGACCAAGTTTGAAAGAAAATGGAAACAGAAAGACAGTTGGAATATCTATGGCGCACATAGTGAGGAAAGAGGGTTTAGAAAATTTAACACTCACACGGCATATTGAAGTTAAAGAGCTTGTTTAAATGAATGGCAGGACAGGGATTAAGATTTTGCTGGTTGTTTCAGTTTCTACGGCTTTTTAACCCTTTGTAGGTTATTTAAAGCCAGGAAATATTTTTAGATAGTAAAAATTTTTTTGAGATAATAATGGTTTTAGTGATACAAATCTTACTAATAAACCCATAGCTGGGGGAGAAGAGGATATTTGCACATAAGTGAATATAAAAAACCCAACAGGAATTGGAAATCGGCTCTCAGATTATCTATTACACCACCCGCACATCCAAGCTTACAGCACCTGGTATAAGTACTCATCTATGTACTGTCCAGGCTTCACGTTGCTTAACTTCAATTTCTCATTTCGAGCCGTTATCCATTATCCCAGCCTCATATCTAAGCTTACAGCGCTTGGTATTCCTAAAAGGTCAACAAATAAGGTACTGACCAAGCTTGACGTTGCTTAACTTCAGTGATTGCACGGGAACTGGTTTTTTAACGTAATGTGTCCGTAAGCCTCCCGGATTAGGGGAGATAGCAAAAAGACAAACATTAGTAAAAATTACAAAGAGCAGGAAGTTGTGGGGAACCATGATCCTCCACGACCTGAAGGGACACGGTACATAGAAGAAGAAGAAAAAGAAGAAGAAGAAGAAGGTTGAAAAATTGTTGGGGTATTTAGCAATGAAATGAGGGCAGACAGATGGAAATATGATACATTTTCGGTGTTTCCTGTTATAGGTGGAGCCTTGAGAATTGAACATAAAAAATATATCCCAGGATGGAATAACAAAGACGTAATATTGATCTAAATGATAAATGCGTTGTCCGTATCTCCCGAGGACGAGCAATAAAGATACTTCCGACTCTCTTGTCGAGAAACCGACAAATGGGCAGTATAAAGTGATATTCTTCCGCTGCAGTTATTGTGGAAAGGTTAGTTTTTAAGAGAACGAAAAACTAATTTTCATCGCGGAGGATTATTTGATTTTATACATTAAATTTTTATTCTGCAATTTACGACGCTTAGCTTAACTAGGCGCAAAGCTAAAATTGTGGGACATCTACTGGAAATAGTACTCACTCTAGTGGTGTTCGCTTAGGCTAGATTGTTAACTATTACACATGTCCTATCTTTAGAAGAGTCAGATCAGAAGAAGATGGAGTATTGCTGCCATATCTGGGCTGGTGCTGCCCATTTCTCACTGTCCAGTCTCGACAGGGTCCAAATGAGCTTACGTGGCCTTGTGGGTGACACATAAAACATTGCTAGTCTTTTCCTATTCTATCGCTATTACTATGACAGATTTTCGGACGAGTTACACTCATTAGTCCCACCAACTCAGACTGGACAGGAAATCCCATGTCAACGGTGGCATACCGTCCCCATCACTTTCATAAGCAAGGTGGAGCTAGTTCCACTTACAGCTTCTTCCTATTACTTTCTGCAACAAACTCCTGAGAGGATGCTCCCCTGATGATATGTCCCGGAAAGGGATATATTTGAACGAAGTAGCTAAGTGGTTTTGGCTACTATAACTAAGTAGAATACGGTAGCAGTAATCGACTGGTACGCGTCGTAGTCGCAGGTAAGAAGTAAAATCAATGGCGTAGTCCAATGGACGTCGCTATAGATTTAGCTTTCAGGCTAAGGCTCTTGACTCTCCTATTTACACGTCCGTCGGTATTTATGACGGACACCAGCCAATCATATTTTTGTGAGGGGGAACACAGGTGTACACATATTCCATTATATCACCTGACCTACAACCTTTGTTTCTTTGTCCAGGGTCAATCGATATTCATCCTGCACATATGCATTACTTACCTCGTTCTCCATCCCTCAGACCGATCATACTCAGTAACACTCTAACTTGAGTGGATCTTGAGCCTTGTATTGGCTGAAGAGGAGGAAGTAAGTGCAGATTATGGGGATATGTAGGATAGATAATCTTTGACACGCGGCTTGAAGAGATTGGCAAAGCATCCTCCTGGAAGTCTACGCCACGAAGTAGCGGCTTCAATACGTCTATATCTCTGAGATGAGGTATTATATTTACTTGCATTATTTACATTACTCGGACGCACGGCCCAGTGGATAAAGACGCTGGTTAGATCCAGTGGCTAGACCCAAATGGATTGTGAGTTCAATACCAGGCTACAGTTGTGGTGAACCCTAAAAAACTTGGAGAGTCGAGTTAAAGGGAAATAACTGAGACATCTAGAAGAGGCATGGCACGTGGAACTAGAACAGTCTACCCCACTACGTGGACGAAATAAAGGGTTCGGTTCGAAATTCCAGTTACCTGAAAAATGCCGGAGCTTACAACGGCCGAATCGTTGTGATTATGGCAATGAAGAATAGGAAATAGGATAACAGTCCGAATAATGTAAATAATGCAAGTAAAGTAGCGGTTCTTTGGAAGAAGCTGAATGCAACCTCCTCCTTAACAATTTACGAAAGAGATGAGGATGATTTGATCTTTTGGATATGGCATAGTAGGTCTTAGCGGTAAAGGTCTGAACAGAGAGAACTAAAGAATGTAACTCGTCTGAAGTTTAATCATGGAAATAGTGATAGAGTCATGATAAATTTCCGAGTTTTGCCTGTGGTAAAGAGACTAAATCCTATTATGATCGGTTGCTTACTCCGCCTGATGCAGACTGCGAATCAACATGAGATATTCTCTTTCACGAAGTTCGATCACCAACAGAAGAGTTCAAAGAGTAAAGTTCAAGTCCAGTCCATAAGTCGATTTGGCTGCCGACCGGCCAACTTCCCACCTCGACATAACTTACTCACGCCATGTGAAGCACAGGAAAGGTAGTAGTAGTAGTAGTAGTAAAAGGAGGAGGAGAAGAAGGATAATAATAATAATAATAATAATAATAATAATAATAAGAAGAAGAAGAAGAAGAAGAAGGAGAAGGAGAAGTAGAAGAACAAGATGAGAAATAATAATAATAATAAGAAGAAGAACAACAACAACTAAAAGAAGAAGAAAAAGAAGGAGGAGAAAAAGAAAAGGGAGAAAATGGAGGAGAA